TTCCTGCCAACAGAGAAAGCTCTCAGGCATCGGGAAGTGAGGTGGGCTATATACCACGGTGCACCATTATTTGTCACTGACCTAGTGAGACAGAGAACTACCTCTGAAGATCTTGTGCTCATGGTGACAGGTGCCAGGGCATAAATTTTTCTGGGGACAATGTGGGCAGGAAATGTAGATGTTCTGAAGGGATACAGGCTGAATTATGTCCCCCCAAATTCCTATGTTGGAGCCCTAAGCCCAGTACCTCAGAATGTGAGTGTATGTGGAGGTAGGGTTAGGGGTAATTAAGTTAAAGTGAGGTCCTTAAAGCAGGCCCTTATCCAATATGACTGGTGTCTTTAAAAGAATAGGAGATTGGGGCCAGCAGGTAGCATGGTGGTTGGGGCTCTGGACTCCCATATGGCCAACCATGGTTTGAGTCCCAGACCTGATGGTTTGCTTTCTCTCTCTCTCTCGTGCATGTACCCTATAGCAAATAAAAATAATAATAATAATAATTATAAATAAAATAATTATATTTTTAAAAGAATAAGTAATTAAGAAACAGACACACAGAGGGAAGACCATGTGAGGACACAGGAAGAAGATGGCCGTCTAGCAGCCAAGGGAGAGGCCTCGACCCCCCCCTGCGACATCTTAATTGTGGATTTATAATCTCCAAAATTGTGAGAAAATAAATTTCTGTCATTTAAGCTATCCAGTCTTTGTTATGATAGCCCTAGCAGACATGAGGTAAAAGAAAGGAAGAGACAAAGAGAAAGAGAAAGAAAAAGAAAGAGAGAGAAGAAGAAAGAGAAAGAAACAAACAAACTCATGGAACCAAAGAACAAGAGTTCACCTGATCTTAATTTTCAGTTGGATACAAACAGAAAACTCGGCCTTACAAGGCATTTTACACTGGGGGTTTTAAGCAGGAAATGACACAATGGGGGTAACAGGCTTATAGCAACTAGCGAACAGAGCAAAACTGGTTTATTTACATTTACTTATTTTTTCAATGAGTGATAGAGAAGAGAGCAAGCACCTCCCACAAGTGTCTTGATGCCACGATTTACATCCAGGTTCAGCCAGCATCAGATCATGGGCACACAGTGGCCCAACATGCTCAATAAGGTTTCTGGGTGTGAACTCGACCCTTCTCAACTTTCCCATGCAGGTCAGCCTCACGGAACATCGTGTTCTATTGCTGTACCACCATCTGGCCCCAACAGTGCTTTTTGATCCTTTAAAATTGACTCCAAGTGATAGAAAAACCAAATATCCTTGGCTTAAACAAGATAGACGTACCTATGTCTCTCTCTCACAGAGAAGTGAGTAGTTGGGCTGTTACGGTGCTCCATGGAGTCAGTGACCCAGGTTCTGCCAACAAGGACCCTACTAGAAGGTTCTCCCATCATGGCCTAAGATGGCTTCTTGAGTGCCAGGAAACATGTCCAAATTCTGGTCAATAACAGGAATTAAATGTGAAGATCATCCTTCCTCCCTTCTATAGCCATGTTCTAGAAGTTGACCTAGAAGTGGCACTTCTGCCTTCATCCCATTAGCCACAAAGTAGTTCCACAGCCATGCCTCGCTGAAGTGAAGGCCGGGAAATGTAGTTCCTTCTGAGTATCTGTGTAATGGGAGTCCTAATACTAAAATGAACGGGGGAATAGATATTGTAGTACCACTTGCAATGTCAGCCTCATGTAAATAACATATTACATCTTCAATTTTATAGATGAGTAAACCAAATTTCAAAATAATAGGTGATTGAGCTAGTATCCCATAATGCAGCAGTTAAGTGGTGTATATGGAAAGCCAGATCACACATGGGGTTCGAATCCTGGCCCCAGCAGCTTGAAAAGTGTACCAGGCATGTGTGCATACATGCCTGAAATCCTGAAGGGTTGGAAAAAAGGGGGGGGGGAATGATGTAGCATGACCACACATCATTGGGGGGTGCTTCCCCTCTCTTCCCCTCTCTCTCTCACATGCACACACACATTGGCACCTTCTGCCAATAGAAAAAATGAAAAGAATAGGCACTTTAGTTATTTGCCCAGAATCTCACATCGAACGAGTGTCAAATTTAAAGGCTGTGGTGTCTCCCAAGGACAATTAGATCATTTTCTGACAAATATTTTGTCCAAAGGGATCAGTAGTGCTTCCATTTTAATCAGTTAATTTGCTGGGTCTCAGTGTATCAAATCTGAAGGTCTTGTGTGTTTTTTAAAAATCTAAAAAGAGTTCAAATTAATTCAGTTCAGTTCAACAACGTCAACTGAACAGTTGACATGCCCAAACATTCTCCTGAATGCTAGAGATACATATCTAACTGCCGCCCCCACAGACAACTTTTTAGGGCCAGCAGAATGTCTTTATATTTTGGTTGAGGTAGGGGGCCCCAGGGGGAGAGTTAAAACTCCTGCTTCTAGCTTAATGCCTGGCACATAGTAGGTGTTGAGTAAAACATTGGAGAATAAATGACCAGGGAAGGGGGATGGAGAGGCAAATAATGTTACTTATATATAATATAAATAATATATTTGTATTTATTATATATGTATTTTAGGTATATACAGCATCCCAAAGAATAAATATGTACATATACCTTCTGGTGTATCTATGTCTGTATATATATACACACACACACACACGCACATATAAGAAATCCCATAAGAATGCTTCTTTGTATAGCATCCTCTGTAGGATCATTGAATCAGGAAATGAATAAAACCATCACCATTCAAAAAAAATCCCATAAAATGCAGATAAGAGAGACATTGAGTTTGCATGAGAGAGTCAGGAAAAACTGAAGACAGGAGATGATATAGAAACCTTTATGGAGAGAATGTGAGTCTATCTGATGTGACAGATGGGTGGGAGGAAAGCACGTATTCCAGTGCTTAATTTGTAGCAGGTATTAGGAGTAAACGAGTGGACACACACCTGCAAAAAGAATGCAAGAGGAAGGCATCAGCCCAGGATACGGAGAATAGACCAGCCAGCCTCTTGGGTCATGAGCTCCATGGCTGCCATGAGGCAAAGAAGGCAGGCTGGATACTGGCTGCAAGGAGCCCGGTATGTGGACCCAAGGAGCTGGGACTTTGGTCTGAGAGCAATAGAGAGCAAAGCAGGCCATCCCAGGCTCTGCATTCTTCAGAGCTACCAGTCATGACTAATTCATGCACAGAATTATGACACAATTGCACAGAATTATCATTAAGATAATGAACTGTAGTTTAGTTTAATGGATAGTATTTTTTTCTTTTCTCATGAACATAGTAAGAGTGTGTTTATAATCCATGGCATCTCAGATTTGATGAATACAAGTGCAAAATCAAAACTCAAAATATCAAAGCTTTGTTACAAAGATCATCACCTCACTCTGTGGTACCCCCTTTGCTTGGTTTCTAGGCACCACATACATTAGTTATCTCCTGTTGTGCTAGAGAGTACTTCAGAACAAAGTGGCTTTAACGACATTGAACTCACATATTTTCCATGAATCTGGAATTCAGGAGCAGCTTAGTTGGATTAGGCTTGGGTTTTCGCTATAGGGCGCATGCACTCGCCAGACAGACAGACATAGAGACAGAAAGTGAGAAATCACCCCCCAAGGGGGGATGGTCACGCCGCAATCCCTTCTCCTCCATTCTCCTCTCGGGATCTTGGGCACACATGCACACGTGCCCAGCGTGAGTTTTAAGCCACCGGGTCCGGGACGCGAACCGCGGTCGACTACGTGGGAGTCCAGCGACATAGCCATTACACTAACTGCTGGTTCCCTTAAAAGAGTTTTAAGTTCATAGCAAAAGGGCTTGGAGTTTTCCACAAGGCTGCAGTTGAGTTGACCAATGCTGCAGCCACCTAAAGGCTCTGACTCTGGCGTGCACTGAGATGCCTTCTGGAGGCTTTATCCACTGCCTCCCCTTCCAAATCTCACTTCTCCATTCTCCCTCCCTTCACCTCCTGAATAAACCACTTGCATTCAGATCATTATGCCATGGTCTGCTTCTGGGGGAGCTCAAACTAAGACAGTGCCTCTGGTAGAGTTGGGTGTTGACTGGACTAAGGAATATCTAGAAATCTGATAAAGAGTTACTCTGTGTGTGTGTCTATGGGGGCATTTCCAGAAGAGAGTCACATGGGAGTCTGAGTAGAGCAGGTGGGGAAGATCTGCTTTCAGTGTGGGCAAGCACAATCTAATCAGCAAGGGACCCGAAGAACAGAGACAGAAGCTGGACTGATCTCTTTTGAAGGAGAGCAGGATAGATTTCCCCTGCTGCCTCGGACATCTCCACTTCTCTTCAGACTCCAGGATTCACACCAGCGTCCCTTTGGATTCTCAGGTTTGTGGCCTTGAACTGTGAGTTAAATCATTGGCTTCCCTGCCTCTGAGGCCTTTGGACTTGGACTGATCCACGCTATCAGTGTTGCAGGGTCTCCAGCATGCAGACAGTGTGTCGTGGGGCTTCTAAGTCACCATAATCATGGGAGCTTATTCCCCCCAGTAAATCCTTCTTATAGATCTATGCACATCCCATCGGACTGTCTCCCCAAGGAACTCCAACTGTCCATCCCCTCTCTTCCAATTCCTGAGCTTGGAAGATGAGTGAGAGAAATAGAGGAAGCCCTGGACAGTTCCAAATTTTGCGTGAGGTTAGTCCTTCCCCTAGCAGTCATGGTAGGGACAATTAGAAGGCACATCAATACACACTGGCAGAGGAGTGCTCGATAACCCGGGCTCTTGAACCCCTCACATCCAGGGAGGTGAGAAATCTTGGGCCATCCCAGACCTGTGGGATCTGGACTCTTTTTCTTGAAGATTAATAGAAACCTGAAATTAATGTTAACTGGGTAGATCCAATAAATGTTCCAACTGGGAACTATGATAAAAATCAAACAAAATGAAAAAGCAGCAGCAGCAATGGAATACTCATGGATGGACCTTGTTATCTTTATTTAGAAAAACTTATTTCTGAGGTCTGGACAGTGAAGCAGCAGTAAATGTGATGGCCTGTGAGGCTGGCCCATGGGGCAAATTTTGGAGTTCGCATCCAGAGATCGCCGAGTTCACCAGATACATTCATGCCATGATCCAGGGCTGGGTGAGGCTGGGAATGGGCCATCAGGACCCTGTGGGGAGGGAACCAGCAGTTAGCGTAATGGCTATGTCGCTGGACTCCCACGTAGTCAACCGCAGTTCGCGTCCCGGACCCGGTGGCTTAAAACTCACGCCGGGTGCGTGTGCGTGCGTGCCCAAGATCCCAAGAGGAGAATGGAGGAAAAGGGATTGCGGCGTGACCATCCCCCCTGGGGGGTGATTTCTTGCTTTCTGTCTCTCCGTCTCTCTCTGTCTTTCTAGCGAGCACACATGCCCTATAGCGAAAAACCTCTCAAAAAAAAAAGAAGAACCCTGTGGGGAGTACTGTGAGTGTATGTGTGTCTGTGCATATGTGTGTGTCTCCATTTCTCTCTCTCCCTCTCTCTCTCTCTCTCTCACACACACACACACACACACTCATAGAATAAATAAATAATGAAACTTTAAAAAGAACAACTTTATTTGTGTGGCAATATTTAAATGTATTTAAACATCAGAAAAAGAGGTTTAACTTCTCAATTTGTCTTGGAGACTATCATGAAGTTTCCTGGAACCTGACCATAAACGAGCGTAAGAATTCTGGCACAGTATATTTTTGCAGAAAATAAGGAATACCATGAAGAAATACTACACTACTTACACAATCTTTGGAATGTTTTAAAATTAACTTCAGCTGTGGAGATGGTGATTTTCTGATTAATTTGATCAATGTAGACAGCAAGCTGTATAATTCATTAAAGGAACTCTGGGCAATTCAGTCTTTAGCTCAGACTCCCACATTTCAAGGCCTCCTCTCCACAGAGACTCGCTCACCTACACTGACACTTCCCCACCTCAGGACTGGATTTCCCAAGCCTCTTATAAACCAAATATTAAGAGCAAATGTCTGTGAGAGAGAGATTGAAGGGCAACTGGTCAGTCCTTCCAGATCTCCCAAGATGGCAGAGGATTTGGGCAGGATTGATTCAGTCCAAGGTCAGACATTTTCTTCTAGGCTAGTAAAGTTCTATGGATAAATTATCCCAGTTTTATCAGATTTCATAGGACTGGGTAAATCCAGTCAAATCCATAAAAGCTCACTTGGATTCAGATACCTATTTAACTCCAATGATAGCTACTGTGCTTTAACCATTCCTCCTTGATTCCAGAATGCACTGGTCCAATGGTATACATTTCTGAGAAAAAGAGAGTCTCACAAATATGGAACTACATGCATAGTTTTGTAGATGTTTGTATAAATAGATTCACACATAAAGAAAAAACAATGGGCACTAGACTTTAGGAAAAGAGATGGCTCTTAAAATACTACTGGCTTGATCAGGGTAGAATGCAGCTTCAAACCATCTCAGAATCTCAGTGCCTGGACAAGGTAAAGCATGTTTCCTTCCCTGTTTCTCAGGACAAGGCATGTTTGGGAGGCTCTGCTGCATGCCTTCATACAGTGGCAGCCTCCATCTGTCTTGACTGTTGTCTTCCTACAGCTCCCCAAACTGCTCTTTCTTCAATGAGCTGATGGGAAATGGGCACACCAACGATCCCATTGGTTCATTTTGTGAGCCAGGCCTGGAGATGGCCCACTTCTAGTTCATCCCATTGGCCAAGCCAGTCTTGTAGCCCCACCTAGCTGGTAGACAGCTGGGAAATGTAGTGTTGTTTTGTTCTCATGGGGCATAGAAATGGATTTGGTCAGCACTTAGTCTTCTCTTCCACAATTCTTAAATTGTAACATATAGAATCACAGATATTTGGTCATTTCTAACTCATAAAAATGGCAGCTTCATATTGTTTAACTTAATTATTAATGTTCTTTATCCAAACTACTCCCAACCAGGTCTAAAAGTAAAAGAATGATTGAATCGGTGATGGGAAAGTTAGTGAGTGGGCATACAAAGAGCAGGCAGGCAAAGAGGAGGCTGGGAAGGTAATCTGGACCGTTTGCTAATGTTAACTTGGAGTGTCATTGGAGAACTGAATAGAAACCAAGCTACAGGTTTTAGCGGGTTAAAAACATTTTTACAAGATAATGTACTCTGCTATTATTGCGAATTATCATGCTTGCCTGTGTTACATTGCTTTTTTCCTCAGATCATATTGTTTTAACTTAAACATAAATATTTTACATTAATTTCTTTTAACCATAATTTTAAATAGCTGCATATGTGCATTGGAAAAAAAAAACTGGCAAGCACAGAATGTATCATTGGATTCTTGGTGTAATAAGTCAGTTTCTTCTGGCATCTACAAATTAGTAATTTAATTATTAGCAATTCTATTGACTAATGATTTTTCCTCTTTAAACCACTTTTCCATTTTCCTGACCAGATGTAGAATTTGAAGACTAAACCGGTAAAATACCAGTTATTAACTGGTCCTTTGAAGCTATCTCCCAAAACTGGGTGGGCTTCACACCCGTTCATTAAAGACGTGTTGCTCATTTATGGTCTCACGTGTTTCTGACAGTTTTTCCCATATTGTCATTTCGAGCTGCTTGGCCTCCTTTAGGAAATACCCACAGAGTAGCTAGAGGTTGCCCTGGTGCGTTCTGATTCGTGTACTTGTCTGAACACTGGAATCCATTTCACAGTTTCCAATCATGAGTTCAGTGGATTCTTAACTATTGTTTCCTTCTTTTCAGACTTAAACACAGGTTTTAATCACTCTCTCTATATAGAAATACAACAAATAAGCCAGCCTTTAGAAAGAGTAAGGCTAGATTTGGGGACAAATTTCTGCTGTCTTTCCACAGAGCTATAATACTCACATGCATTTGTGACTTGGGAAGGAATTCCTTACAGTGGATGAGAAATCTTAACTTTATTAACAAGTTTTTGATGGCCCAAGTGTTAGTCATTAACATTTTGGAGAGTTTTATAAGTGACACTTTGTACAACATCAAAACCAATGACTTGGGAGAAATTAATATACCTCAGATTTCTTGGTTTCACCTTTTCACCTGAAGGCAGGCATGTGAAAGCAATAAAGCTCGAGAAAAAGAATTTCTCTGCAGAGCTGTGGTAAGGTGCAAACACACACAAATTTCATCTTCGGGTAACCGTCTCTGATTGTTAACACTGGGCAGTATTTGTAATCCAAAGTAATTGACTTTGACCAGTACATATGAAATAGGTTTGACCACCTCTACCAGGGGCCCTGGGCTGGTTCCTGATTAGGCCTTTGAAAAATCTCATATTTCAACAAAATGCCATTTGTTTTTATATGCTATCACATCTAACTGTTGCAGAAATCTTGTTGGAGCTTAGTGCACTTATCCTACTTCTATAGAGGCAAAATCCTTCATATTTCCAACTGCTTCAAATCCTTCTATAGAACTCTCTGGAGCCTTCAGGATGCACAAAGTAGTTTTTGGCCTTTTTATTCTGGCCACTGCTTAATCTCCCTGCCCCTTCTCCATCCCACCATTCCTCCCGCCTCCTCTCCCCCTCCACTGCTCCAACTATATACGACTGTCTATGCTCAGATTTGCAGGCCGCAAGCTCTTCCATGTTCTTTTTTTCTTTCCAATAATAGATTTTATTTAATTCAATCAAGCAATACATATAAAATATCATGTCAACGTGAATTAATATAAAAATTACTGAGATATTTTATATGAGTTTTTTTTTTCCATGTTCAGTCTTAGAAACCCAATGTGTATGTGATCCCCAAAGTCCAAGTAATTCTATCTACCCCATTGCCACATGTGGTGATCTTCCAGCAGACAGTAGTTATAGAATAAAAAAGCAGTTCCCTCCTTTGGCATTCATGATCTATCCTCTAATGCTATTTTTTACCACTGTGCCCTATATCCTCCATATTCCAGCCTCACTAGTTTATTTTTTATTTACTGAGAATGATACCGACTATGCACTTGGTGTTTTTCAAGCTGCTGGGGTCAAGATTCAAACTACATAGTTAGCTATGTAGGATCCAACTCCCTTAACCACCAGGCCAGAGGGCCAACCCTCAGTACTCTTAATAATGGAATTTGTTGGTACTACCTTTTTGGTGGGCATTAGTGGAAAAGTTAATAGGATATAAAAGTATATATCCTTTTACTCTGAAATAGTGCTAGGAATTTTTTGAAATTCTTGCACAAATGCACAAAATATATAAATAATATATGTATATATACATATGTATGTGTATTATATGTCTGAGTGTGTGTGTGTGTGTATCAGGGAGGAAGAGAGTAAATTGGTGTAATGAACACAAAACAAAGAATTAGATACAAGTATGAAACAGTGTTTAAAATGCCCTCCCCTTCCTAAGCTGCTTTTGCAAGAAGTACTTTCATCTAGATGCACCATTGTTTCAGAGAGTTCTCTTGTTTGGCCAGTGAGCTTACTTATGCAAGCATCTTAATTCCTTTTATTCTGCAACCCCTTCACCTGTGTATCTTAGTCCCATCTTCAACAACCCATGTTCTGTCTTTCCTCCTTGGTTACCATTATCATCCTCTTTTCTTTCCTCCTGCAGAAATGCTAACAGCAAAATGCACAGCCTCTGTCCCTCGGAAATGAATGGCTTAGAAATGAATGGCTCTGGTAGCAAGTGGAGCAGGTGCCCTTCCACTGGGACTGAGAGCCGAGCTCCACTGGAAACTATGCCCAGCTCAGGGTGACAGCATAGCTAGTTCTGTCCCCTGTCTCCCATGTTCTTAATGGCTCCATTTTGGGCACAGGCTACTTTCTCCACCCAGAACATCTTCCTTCGCTGTCATACAACTTCCTCCTACTTCACCTGGGAAAGTTCTAGCAATCACCAGAATTCACAGTGCAGTGGGCCCATTTCCTCCAGAAAACCCCTCACCCACCTATCCTAATGTACTAACTCCTGTATCTTCCCCTAGCTCCTGAGAACTTACCCCTTTGGTAGAGTTCATTTGTTGGAGTATAATTATCTGTTTACCTACCCACCTTCACCCCTAGACCATAAGTCTTTTGTGAGTATGGGTTCTTCTCATATGCCCCCCCCATAGTCGTAGTGTCTACCTGATGCATATAGCTACTTGAGAAATTGGGGGCAGACAAATGGATAGGTGGACGGATGAATAGTTTGGTGATGTGTGTTCCCCTCTGGCTTCTAATGCCAATGAAACACGCAGTCTTTCTTGGCCTTAACTTCTTCATGTGTAAAATGATAGGTTAGAAATGTATGATATCTAGGATCACTTTCCTTATAGTGAAATTCTATGATAATCTCCCCTTACAGTCAAAATTCATTCCTACAAACATAAAAAAAAACAAAAACCTGGAACTGTGAGAGCCATAGAATGTGCCTCACAGACCTTTAAGTACAGGGGGCATCACTAGTGAAGAGCCCCAACTCCTCTGCTTGTAGAAACCCTTCACCCCTTTTAGGTGAGGCCACAGCTCCCACAGACTGATCCCACCAATTACTGAGCATGGCACACAAAGGCAGGCTCTCTTGTAGGAAACGTGCTCCTCTGAAGTTGACACGTAGTATTAATCCTACTAACGGTGCTAATAAAAGTAGTCCATTAGGAAGCATTTACTGTTAGTTACTGTCCAAAACTCTTTACATATAGTCAATAATTCCATTATCACAAATACCCTTAAGGTTAATAATTTTATTATCCCCATTTTAGAAATGAAATCATGAGGGCCAACCAGTGGCATGGTGGTTAGGGCAGCTGGCTCCCACATGGCTGACTATACAGTCTGAGCCCTGGACTTGGTGGCTTGAGAAACACACTGCGTACATGTGTGTATGCCCCAAATTCCATGAGAATGGAGGAGAAGAGATTGTGGCATGGTCATCCCCAAAGGGAGTGCTTTCTCACCTCTCTCTTTTTCTCTCTCTCCCTTTCTCTCCTCTTCTCTCTCTCCAGAGACTGCATGCACCTTATAGGGGAAAAAGGGAAAAGAAATAAAGGAGATAGTGAGGCATACAAAGGTGAAGTAACTTGCTGAAAATCATGGAGTTAATATATAGTAGAGGCAGACTCTAACCCTAGGAAGGAGACCAGTCTCAACCACCATGCCATGCAGTGCCTCAACATGCAGAGCTGGTCCTGCGCTCTTTCTAGAAATTCTCTCCTCATTTGGCTTTGCTGACCCTGTGTCTGTCTGGTGCTCCTCTGAAGATTGCCTGAGTTTTTTCCCAGACCTTCCTCCTCCTTAGCTCACCTCTTATTTGCTGGTTTCCTGGGGCTCTGCCCGAAACCACCTCTTTTCTTATGAAGTGTGGGTATATTTGTTTTACTGATTTCTTTCTATCTTGTGTTCAAATCTTAAGGACATCAAGACAAATAACCCAATTTTAAAATGGGTGAAGTTCCCAGACTAACATTTTTCCAAATAAGATATTCAAAGTGCCTTATAAGCACATGAAAGATCACAATATTGTGAGCCATCAGGGAAATGCACATCAATACTGGGAAATAGCACGTCTCACTCATTAGCCTGGCTACCATTTTTTAAAATGAGCAATAACAAGTACTGGTGAGGAGTGGAGAAGTCGAAACTCTCATGCATTGTTGGTGGGAATGTGAGATGCAAACATCTTAGAGAACAGTCTGTGAGTTCCTCAGCAAGTTAAACATAGAGTTACCATATATCTCAGTTCAGGCTGCTACAACAAATTACCTTAGACTGGGGAAGCTTATAAACTGCACAGATATGTTTCTCACAGATCTGGAGACTGGTAGTCTAAGATCAGGTGCCAGCATAGGCAGGTTCTGGTGAAAGCCCTCTTCTAGCTAGCTAGCTTTCTTGCTGTTTCTTCTTCTTCTTTTTTTTTTTTTTTTTTTTTTTTTTTTTTTTTTTTTTTTTTTTTTTTTTTTTTTTTTTTTTTTTTTTTGAGAGGTGTCTGCTATAGGGCGCATGCGCTCACCACCAGAAAGACAGAGACAAAAAGTGAGAAATCACCCCCCGGGGGGATGGCCACGCCATAATCCCTTCTCCATTCTCCTCTTGGGATTTTGGGCATGCACGCCCACACTCCCAGTATGAGTTTAAGCCACTAGGTCCAGGACTAGAACCATGGTTGACTACATGGGAGTCCAGTGACTTAGCCATTACACCATCTGCTGGTCCCCTCTTGCCTCTTCTTATAAGAGCACCAATCCCATTCATGGAAGTTTCACCCTTATGTTCTAGGCTCGACCTCCTAATACCGTCACTGTGGGATTAGGCTCTCAATATATGAACGGGGGCGGGGGATTCAGTCCATTGTACCATATGACCCACTAATTTCACTCCTAGTTATATAACCAACAGAAATGAAAACATATGTCCACAAATAAATTACTGCTTCAACACTCATAATGACTTTATTCATAATAGCCAAAAGGTGGGAACATTCCAAATATCCATTAACTAATGGATTAACTAGATAAATGTGGTATGTCCATATCATGGACTACTATTCAGCAATAAAAAGAAATAAAATACTGTTACATCCTATGAACTTTGAAAACATGCTAAAGAAGCCAGACACAAAACAGCACATAGTACATGATTCCATTTATTTGAAATGTCCAGAATAGGCAAATTTAGAAACCAAAAAGCATATTTGTGCCTACCAGGGGATAGAGGGAGCGGGGACTCAAGGTTACCTTCAGTATGGCGTTTCTTTGTGGGGTAATGAGAGTGTTTTAGAATTAAATAGTAGTGATAGGTGCACAGCATAGTGAAAATACTAAAAGCCACTGAAGTGTATACTTGAAAATGAGAATTCTCTGTGATGTGAATTATATCTCAATTTTTAAAAATGCTACAGTAAAAAATTCTTAAGAGCATACTGTGTTTGGGCTAGCACTTACTTAGTGCACTTTATGTTCAGTGGTCTGTGGTCTCTTCTTTGGGAATTGTTAGCTATGGTCAAACTGGGTCAAGACTGTGGGATTCCTTGTAGAATTGGTAGTAACACACAGATTAGATTATGCAGCTGGCTTCATTGTTTCTCAGTTAAAACTCTTTCTTAGAGCCTGTAATGATATTGACCATGCTGTCCTACACAATAAAGCATCTGTTTACAGTAGACTGTGTACTGAAGAGGGCAAAGACCAAGTCTTTTTTCTGACTACGCTATGTGCCTAAGATGGTGCTTGGATCACTACAAGTGCTCAGTAAGTGTTTCGTTTTAAGGTAGTGGTGCTTAATGAAAGACAGTTTTGCCTATTCCATTGGCAATGTCTAGAGACATTCTGATTGTCACAGCTGGAAGGGTGTGTGCTACCGGCATCTATACACAGAAGCCAGTCTAACATCCTGTAGTGCAAAGCACAGCCCCCAACAACAAAGCATGATCTGGCTCAAAGTATCAGTTATATAGAAGTGGAGAAACCCTGGGCTCAGTGGTTGAGCAAATGACTCATGAATCCCTAAAGTTAATTCCATTAAAAGATGGGAAAAAAGAGATGTTGATGAATGGAAACAAAAATGCAGCTAGATAGATGAAAAATAAATAAAGTTTCCCCTCAAAAAGTGAAACAGATCTCCTTTAAGAAAATGCAAATAAGGGGCCATCAGGTGGCATGGTGGTTAAGGGTGCTAGACTCCCACATGGCTGGCTGTGGTTTGAGTCCCAGATCTGGTGGCTTGCTTTCTCACTTTCCCTCTTTCTCTCTCTCTCTCTCTCTCTCTCTCTCTGACCCTCTCTGGTCAAATTAAAATAAATAAAGTTAAATAAAATAATCCTTTTTAAAAAATGGGAACCAGCGGTTGCTGTGATGGCTATGTCGCTGGACTCCCACGTAGTCTACCGCAGTTCATGTCCCGCTTAAAACTCATGCCGGGCGTGTGTGCGTGCGTGCCCAAGATCCCAAGAGGAGAATGGAGGAGAAGGGATTGCGGTGTGGTCATCCCCCCCCCGGGGTGGGTGATTTCTCGCTTCTGTCTCTCTGTTTCCCTCGGTCTCTCTGGCGTGTATACACACCCTATAGCAAAAACCTCTAAAAAAAAAAAAAAAAAAGAAAGAAAGAAAATGTAAATAATAAAATCATCCTTGTATTCGGTGATCTCAGTTAATGGAATGTCCCAGACCACATCTTTATAGCTGTTAACTGAGTAACCAAGTTCATGGGAGAGGCAGACCATGAGGAAAACTTGCAATGTTGTTTAACTTCCCAACCTTGACTGAAATATTAACTTGCACAAAATCCAGTCCCGGATCAGAAAGCACATGGTAAAACGTGCATTCCTTGTCTGTTAAAGAGCCCAGAAAGCATTCTTACAGTGTATTTAATATGCATGAGGCAAGTCGGAGCCCTCCACAAAATTCACAGCATACATCTTTCCTCCTAAAGTCCAGTAGCAACCCTACTCAGTGCAGGCAGTAAGTAGGTCAACATGCAGTGAGCTTCACCCCTGGGACACTGGATTAAGGCTGGGAGCTCGTTCTTTCAGGCTTCTAGATCAAGGCCAAGGCTGGATAGGCCCCTGTTTTTACATGTCCCATAAGCTAAGAACAATTTTTACATTTCTTAGTGGTTGACGGTGAATCAGAAGACTACTATGTCATGACACTTGAAAAGTATATTAAATATACTTTGTATTGAGTTTCAGTTACTGAGTTTTTATCGAGTTTCAATGTCCATACTTATTTTGGGGGACATAGTCACGCCCATTGTTTACTGTTGCCTTTGGCAGCTTTCACACTTGCACAGAGACCTTATGGCCTGTCAAGCCTACAATTTGCATCCTTACCATCTGGCCCTTTACAGAAAACATTTGCCAATCTCCGCTGGACAGTTAGAGAATTTAGTAAATTGTGTTTCCAGGAAGCCGTGTGACTGGAGTCCCCAACACCTGGCTCTGCTGGGGACGTGACTCCACTCCACTGGACTGGAGTTTCCTCCTCTGTAACATGAGAGGGCTCCGCTGAAGGACCTCTAGAGCCCTTTCAGCTCTTCACCTTCTGCAGTGTGAGGTAATTCCAGTCTGTTCGATGGTTCCCAGGTGGCCAATGTGCTGCAAGTGCAGGGCTCTTGTCTGAGACAAAGCCACAGGGCCAGGGAGTCACATTACCACACATGCCTATACAGAGCAGACTTGAAAAGCAGCACTCCACCAGTTTCAAAATGTAAATATTTGACCACTTTCCTGTACTCTACTTTTACAGACTGTGTAGACTGATTCTTTTAACTCTGAGAAGGAAGGACATGGACTAAGTTAATTGTTGAGAAAGGCTAGCAAGGGATGGCAGCAGAGGCTTCCAACTGCAAAATTCAGATTTTCAAATTCTAACTTAGCCCTTGCTGCAGGGTTATTGAAATTAACCAGGTAATTGACGTTGTTCCATTCTGTTGGTTGCTCAGAAGAGTCTCCGTTGCCCTTTCTGTTTTCTCAATACTAATGTGTGATTCTTTATCCACAGTCCAAGGGATCATGGCTTGCCGACATTGGCACGCCAGCCTGGGGTCTGTCACTATGGAACTAAACTGGCCTGCTGCCTTGGCTGGAGAAGGAATGGCAAGGGAGTCTGCGAAGGTAATTGTATAAAAACTCAGACCATCCTGCCCTTAGGTCAGAGTTGCCTTAAGGTTTTATCTGTGACACTATAAGCTGTCACAAAATTGCCAGTGGATTCCCCAGGGTAGGGACATGGATAACTGCCAATAGCCAAGGTCTGAATTCCTATGAGAGCTCCTCCCTCCCAAAATGTGGCATGTGTGTGCTCCTGGTATGTTGCAGGTGCACCTGGGATCTGAACCAGTCTTCCATGTGGCTCCAGCATTGCAGAGCACCCCCTGCTGCCTGCACACCAAGGCTGGACCTAGACATGATTGATTTTAGGAGCCTGGCTTGTCAGTTATTTTTGTTACTATCATAGTGAGTCTGACTGGATTGTTTTTGGCTTTGAGTTTTATTTTAACCTGGAGAAATTAAGATGGGCAAAAATGGCTTTGATAAATGTCTCCTTCTAATTACAGGTTTTTTTCCAATTGACTTCTAATAAAACACATTTTGTAATTATTAATCATTCTACCAGCTTTCTTCAGCCACCAAATAAAGTAAGTCTTTTACCGTAAAGATTTGTTACTCACATTTCAAAAATGTATTCTGCCAGTTTCTGAATGAGTTCAAGGGACATGTGCATATATGCAAAGATTTGAACAATTGCAGCTATTTTTTTCTAATTCTTTTGTGCAAATCACAAACTAAAGAGTCATAATTTGCCTTGGATGTTGGTTCTCAGACCACTTGTTAGGTGGTCTGAGAGGCCTTTTTCTGATTTGAAGAGGGCTGGGAGGGCAGAGATGAGCATGGAGTTTAGCCTCCTTTTGGTCTTTACATGTCTTTCCATAATGACCAACACTTGCAGTGAAAAAGAATCAAGCCCACATTCCTCCTAGGTCATCATTCATTCTTTATGAGCAGGAATCTGATCTCACCTGGATCCCCAGCAGGTGGCACACTCCTGACCCTCAGTCTTTTATCTATTATTATCTGTGGGACAGTAGCACAACTGCATATCCTATAAACACACTGAATTTTAGCTGCTTTGCGGAATAACAATGCTGCCCTCCTTTTGCTGGCCTGTCCCTGCCGCAACCTCCTCGTGTAACTGATTTATTAAAACACCTGGCTTGACCGTAGGTGAGTGCTGAACTTGATAATATCCACGGGAGACACTGACTCTGCTCTGCATGTTCCGTATTATGTGCAACCTCCCACCTTCCGGTTTCCTGTGGTAGATG